GCATCCTTAAATGTACTTCTACCAACACTTGAGAGTAAAATATATGAAATGTAAATATCTCATCTATTCCTCCTTAAAGTCTTGTTGCATGCTTTATGCAGCTGTCAATTGCCAACTGAAACTACAGCCAGTGACACATGGTCTGATTTGGTAACGGGTTTGGTGCTAATAAAAATAAACAGCATAATGCTGCCCTGATAGCATCATTACACTGCTATATTTACAATTTATTATTGATCTTTTTGGTAACAAATTCTCTTACTTCCCTTTTAAAAAATATATTTAGAATAATTGATCTAAGCGCTGCAAGAAACAACAGCTGGTCATCCGAAGAGTTTACAAAATACAGAAAGACTTCACTGAATCATCACACAGTTGTTTCACTATATACATTTCTTCTACTTAGCAGGAATTACTACTGACTTCATGGCAACGGTTCTGAAAAAATCAAGGACCAGGATACAGAGATATCTGTGGACATGAAACATAAGATGGCTATTACACAACTATTAGCTATTCCAAAGAGAAGGCCATTGCTTATAACCAAACACATGACTCGGTTCCAGAAAGATCATTAAAACAGTAGAAGACTTTACACACAAAATGCATAACCTGTTACTTTCTTTCACATCCTTCTCTCTTAAAAGTTCTTCTCTGCATGGGTGCACATACTTTTTTGCTCTAATACACATGCTTTATAAACAGTTGACATCATTCAGCTATAGCTTTAGTGAATGGCACGTATGAATTTCCCCACTAAAAAGGGGCCTGGATTTCCGGTGCACTCAAAACACATTGCTACTTTGAGAGAAACCTACAGCAGAGAAATTGCCTGACCTAAACACCTGGATTTTTTTTGCTTCAGTGGGTATTTATTTACTTTAAAGACCTTCCTGGTTCATCCCAGCATGAAGCTCCTTTACACTGCACCAGAGACATATTTGTTTTCTTCTGTCCTGTACTGGATAGACATTAAACACAAGCAGATTTTTTCTTATTTCAAGTCTTCTCCAGTTGTAATATTATCATTACATGCAGTAGAGAAATCACATACAGTTTAATTACTGACATTTAACAAATAACACATTATTATCTCATTTCTCTCTTTCTCAGCATATACACCTCAAATATAAAAGTATTAAACACATAGGGATTTATCTATTGATTGTTACCTTCAAACAAACATCACAGCATCAAGTAAAGGAAAATCCTATGCCACCATCATGTGTCTCATGTGAAATGTGCCTAGCAAGGGCATATTCCTTAACTCTCTTTGAGTTGAGCCAAGATTAACAGAAATATAAGTATTTCTTTGATAATCTTGAGGTAAGATCAGAAGGTGAAGCATCCCTTGCAAGAGCTGGCAGTCAGTTCTGATGTGAAGGGGCCCAGATTCTACACTGCTTCTAGAATCTGTCAAGTGTGGACAAAATTTAGCTGGTTTACTGTGGCAAAGTTCCTCTTGGTCTTCAAACTGTAAAGACCAGCAGTAACTC